AATGGATTGACTTTTTATTTTCCTTTTGATTATTTAAGATATGCAAATACTATTTTGTATTTGATGAGTAGGCAACCAGTTTGTGGAGCCCTATCTTAAGTTCATTGGATAAGGATGATTATGAAGAGCTTATATATTGTGATATATAGTGATGGGGGAAGGAAGAAACTCAGGTTAACATGGATGCAAGAAATAGCCCACCTCAGAAAGCTGAGATTCTGTTTCTGTTAAGTCATTATTAATGTGATTTTTCTCATTTTGAGGTCTGGATAGTTCTATTAATTCATGTGTGATTATATACCTTGCTAATGCTTTTAATGAAATTTGTAAAAGAAACAAAATGGCAACTGAATTCCTCAGTAGGGTTGCCGTTCATTGCCACAAGTAGAGAATAACTCAGGTTGAGAGAATTACAGCTGCTGTTTCCCCAGCTTGTTATTTATAGCTGATTCTTAAGAACATGGTTAAAAAGCTTCTACAGCTAAAAGAATAGTAAATTTTATATACACACACAAACATATGTACATATTTTTATTTTGTGTATGCTAGCACTGTACTAAGAGTCTTTACATAGGTAACTCATTTAATCCTCATTTTCCCTATAAGGTATGTTTTATATCCATTTGACAGATGAGGTAACTGAGGCTCAGGGATTTTAAGAACTTGCAAAAGGTCACACAGCCCAGGTCTTTTTAACATCTCTTACATTGTATATACAGTGGACCCTTGAACAACAACAGGTTAGAACTGCATAGATCCACTTATATACTCAGTTTTTTTTTTTTTTTTTTTTTTACTGAATATTTACTACAGTTCTACATGATCTGTGGTTGATTGAGTCTGTGGATGCAGAACCTCCTATATGGAGGGCTGACCATAAAGTTAAGTGCAGATTTTCAACTGCACAGAGGATCGGCACCCCCCAAACCCCCATGTTGTTCAAGTGTCAGCAGTTTACGTGGTGTGCAGTACATTAGGAGATGCTCTGCATATGTTGAATGAATAAGCTAGAGGTTAATGAAGGATTGGCCAATGTGAAAGTACAGGAAAAAAGTATGGACAATTCATAGTGAGTTATAAAGTGGTTGCTAGTATTGTGGCATAGTGGAAAAGAAGTAGTACTGTAGTAGTAATTATAAGTAAAAGTAAAATCAGTAGTTACTATGAGATTTCCCAGTATTTTCAGCATGACTGCTCCAGAGTACAGCCTAATGAAAGATGAGGCTTTGGAAAAGATTCTTAGGAAAACTAGGAAAGAAAGAAAAATTCAGATATTTCCTGGTTCAAGTTGACACTATTGTGAGCAACTTGAGTTACTCCAAAGGAATCTCTACGTAGGATTATTAGGAAAGCCTTAACTTTAAGATAAAACATCTGTCTGAAATAGTAAGGGTAGCCTAAGAATGATGATTTTCAGACTTTGTCATTATAGAACCCTGTTGTGGTGGTTTTCATGCTCATATACCCTAACCCTTAATATGATATTAAATTGAATTATTGAAAGTCCTGATTAAAAAGAAAATCCAGTCCCTATCATCTTACCTTTCTTAAACAACTTAAGATGGCTAGTAGTCATTTGATTAGAATTTATCTTATTGGAATGTGATTTATTCAATATATATTAGCTTAGTCTGAAAACTTAGTTGAATATGCCTTTCTCAGAACAAAAGAATATAAACATATATCATTTGATTCCATTGGGAAGAATGCTGTTAAAGTGTTGATGGGTTAAATAAATGTTATTAGATATCATCTGTATTTTTCAGAATCAGCAATCTGAGTCCAGAACAAGAGCAGGGACTGTGGAAACAGAGGTAAATATGTTAACGTATTTTATGAAGTATTTTGACAAGTATTTTTTAAGATGTGATATTCCTTTAACTTTTTTACTTAGGCTTTAAAAAAACTGATGTTCAGTAAAACTTTAGGGGAAGAAGAATAACTTTTCATTTGATGCCTATGCCCTTTTTACTCTAATTATTTTTATTAATGTTTGGTTTCAGCCATAAATCCTCTGCAGCAATTCAGAACGAAACTCCAAAGAAAAAGCCCAAATTGGAATCTAAGCCATCTAATGGAGATAGGTAAAAATGAATTCCTTTAGTGCTATGAAAATTCAACTTAGTTGAACAGTTATGGCTGATTGCCAATTATTACTAGGTAAAAGAATAGAACATGTATCTTCTACATTGACTTCTTTGAGTCACCTAGAAGAGTAAACATAATCAGTTTAAATTTTTAACTTAATTTTAGCAATAAGAAAGTGGCACTGAATGATGTTCTATTTGGGGCATAAATTTGGGTTTTGAAAAAAAATCTGAATAGAGAACATTATCTTAATTATTCTTCAGTGAAACACAAAACTAATTGTGATATTTGAAATTGACCTGCTTGGAAAATGTTTTTAGATTTAAAGTATTTTGAGAGTGACTTTGTTTTAGTTCATTAGCCAAAAGTTTGCTGATGTTACTGTACAAATTGGCTGCCTATTGCTTTACACTAGAAGTATTGACCCCCTAAAAGCTAATACTGAATTATATTTCTGCAGGTGTATGTAATGTGTGCCATTAGTAAGGTAATTTGCCAGTTGCATCCATTTCTGTCAGGTACATATTTTTTTGCATTAGCCTTAAGGATGTTTGTGGAATTGTCTAATTTATGCAATTTGAACACCTGCTAATTTTCCTTCTACTTCATTTAACTGTGTTTTACTTTTTTCTTTTTAGTAGCTCTATAAATCAGTCAGCAGATAGTGGGGGAACAGACAATTTTGTCCTTATAAGTCAACTGAAAGAAGAAGTGATGTCACTTAAACGTCTCTTACAACAGAGAGACCAGACCATTTTAGAAAAAGATAAAAAGGTAAGTTCATGGTTCACTGAAGCCTGGTAAGGTTTACATCTTGACTCTTGCTTGATAATTGCAAATTTTGTTAGACTTTCTTCAGTAACTTGGTCATGTTTGTGGTACATGATTCTTATAAGACACAGAAGCCCAAATTGGAACATAGGCCATCTAATTATGATATGTAAAAGTGGTACTTCAGAATTTTAGTTCTAAGAATCAATTGAGAGATGATTAAAATTCTAATAATTTCTGAACATTAGTTTTCAGTAAGCCTGTAATCTAAAATTAGATCTAATGTCTTAATTTGAAAAAGAGATGTAAATGGAATATTATGTCAATTCTTTTGGTATAAGAAAGTAATTGAATATAGTCTAATATACCAATTATATATTTATTTCAATCAAGATCAAATAAGTGGAGAAAATTAGTGCTGTGGGAATTTCCTATGTGGTAATGATTAACAATAGGTATCTAAGATAGGAAGTAAGTGTACTTATTGGGACTTTATCAGTTAGATAAAGAGAAATATCGAATATGTTGTCTGTTTAGTGAAAAGTTCTAATACTTTTCTGTGTGCACTTGAGCAGAATTTTACCTGTTTGCGCCTCAGTTTTCTTATTTTAAAAATGAGAGGATTAACACCATCTCATGGGAAGATGGTTATGATTAAATGAGAATGTAAAGTGTTTACTTACAGCTTCTGGCATGTATAAGTGCTCATAGCTGCTATTACTGAGGTTTGGTCTTCTTTGAGGGTAGAACCTACTTCTGTACTTGTTTTATGATCCTAGACTGTCTGGTTTGACCTATTTCAAACATATCATTGCAATAGGAAAACATTAAAAACGTTCTTTTAAAATTATCAAGTTGTGATTATGAATATGTAGTATGTAGCTATCTCTGAGATTCCATAGTAGTGCTTGAGTTTGAGTTGGCTTTTACTTCTGGCTTTCATGTAAAAATGTAACTTTTATGTTACATTTTCCCACACCTTGATGATTAATGGATTTAAATTTATTTTAATACATTTGTACCTTACCTTAAGCAAATTCGATATATGAAATTTAGGATTGACATAGACAAAAATAGGATAGTTAGGAGTATTTTATTTTTTATGGTTCTTTTTGCTTAACAACAGAATATTTTAAATTAGCTTTAATGGAAATTTGTTTTACACACAAAATATTAGAAACATTTCTGTTACACAAAGACAGGTCTATCAGTACTAACCTAGATAATAGTTGAATAAAATGGTAAGTTTACTATAAAATAGCAATGATTCCAAAACTACGTAGTAATGAATTGTGGAATTTTGGCTTTTTTAGATGTTTTTTTTCCTTCAAGTATCACTATTCTGTGTTAGTGCAGTTAGTGAAAAGTTTTCTGGTTTTGTTAGTGTTCCTTTTTTCTTAAACACTAAAAGGGGATGGAAATTAGCAGTACTATGAGGAAAATAATTGTAAGCCTAAAATAGCTACATACTTAGAGCTTTTTTAAATAATGTAAATGTAAGACAACCACGTTATTTTCTAGAATTTATTTCACTTTATTCAGTGACTTCTAGAGCCAGCCATGTACTAGATCATGAGGATAAAAAGGTGAAATAAGACATGATTCTTATCTTCCAGAAATTCATAATCTGGAGGCAACTCACAGTGTAGTGATGAAAATATCATAGCTTATCTGATGTGAACTGACATTTCAGAAAAGGAATCCCTTTGTAATGTAGAAAGCAGGATTCAGTTATTCTTTGAACTGGACAAAAAGTGAGAGCTTTTATTCAGAAAATCAGAATATAGGGCACTGTGACTTCCTTTCTCTCTTTTTGGTGTACTTCTTTGTTTACTGGCTACCGGGTAATTACAGAAAAGAACCTGCAAACCTTTAAAGCTTACGTAATGAAAACCAATTAAAAATAACCAGAAGCTTTCTTCTGCCTGGTTCTTATGTTGAAATTATATAATACCAACTTATTTTTTAGTATGAAGTCATGAGATTTTGTATCTTTATGTATGTCATTTATATTTATGAAAAAAATTGTCATATAGCTGTCTTTCCTTCCTCAAATCACCATCTTTTTTCTTACGTTGTCTAATTTAGCCCAAATTTTAAAGTAACCCCCTTTCCTTTCTTATTCTGTTAGTTGTATTGCTGTTCTTTGTTCTCCATTTTTACCTCAAATCTTAAGTGGTATTGAATATGGAATTCTGCACATAAATTTTAAAATAAAAGCAATATAGCTTTTGGTTGATAAGACTGTTCCTTTATGTACTTGCCCAGTGTGAAATTTTTTTCTTTTTTCATTGAAAGATTATTGTAACCTGAAACCAGTTTTTACTGTTTACTTTGTTTATATATAATGTGAAGTATGTTTTAACTGAAGCATTTTCCAAGGTATTAACCATTAAGCTTTTCTGTTGGCATACCAGTTGCCAAACTGTGTCCAGTGAAACCACCTTTAAAAAGAAACAAAAAAGACAACTTCTCAAAAGTTATACTGATGGGGCTTCCCTGGTGGCGCAGTGCTTGAGAGTCCGCCTGCCGATGCAGGAGACGCGGGTTCGTGCCCCGTTTCGGGAGGATCCCACATGCCGCGGAGCGGCTGGGCCCGTGAGCCATGGCCGCTGGGCCTGCGCGTCCGGAGCCTGTGCTCCGCAAATGGGAGAGGCCACAACAGTGAGAGGCCCGCATAACGCAAGAAAAAAAAAAGTTATACTGATGTTTCAATATTATCTTAACATTAAAATTGTATTAATGTTAAAGTAGTAAATTATATAGAATTCATCATTTCGCAAAACAAATTTGAGATAAGTTACAAAACTCAGTAAACTGCTATTAACATTCTCCACTTTTATAATGAATTGTGAGTTTATTGTGAAAAATATTTAACAATGATGTGTTTGTGCATATGCATATATAGATATATATATATAGATATATATACACACATGTATATACATTTTTTTTTTCTTTAATCTTTCAGTTAACTGAACTTAAGGCAGACTTTCAGTACCAAGAGTCAAACTTGAGAACAAAGATGAACAGTATGGAAAAAGCTCACAAAGAAACTGTGGAACAACTCCAGGTAAATGAGATTATTTATGTAAACTGTTAGGCAAGGAGGGTAAACTTGGTTAATAGTATTCTTTCTCTTAGACTGGTATTGGTATCCCTACTTTATGCATATCTAGAGCATTTTCAGCTTTGATTTTGACTTAAAATACCTTGTAATCCTGCTCCCATTAAAAGTTATTGCCTGAAATCACTTGATAAGGGGATTCAGTAGATTAATTCTGAAACCTTTTGCCTAAAGTTCAAATGGGGTTCTCAGAGGAGGATATCACTGAAGTATGTTCAGTTGATCCTCAGGTGAAAAGCAAAAAATTAAAAATCAGATTCATGAAACTAAGGTGAAAGTAAGATCTTCAGTACATTGTGTAGTTATTCTTCCTGTTTCCTCCCAGATAACGGGAAAAGAGGTGGGGCTACAAAACCAATTTATGGGACCTCGAGTGGAGGAAGTTCATGCTGCATGCAGAGATGCAAGGCCAAAGAGTGCACTTTAACATCTGTACTGTGATTTTTTTTTTTTTTTTTTTTTTTTTTCGGTGGGGAGCACCTTAGAATATATTGATGGATCTTGTGAGTCTCTCTTTTTTTGGGTCAATTTGGGTCAATTTCCTATTTATAACTCTTGCCCATATTTTTTAGAGTTTTGCTTGTTTTTTTTTGTTCCAGCATCGGCAGGCGGACTCTCAACCACTGCGCCACCAGGGAAGCCCCTGTACTGTGATTTTTAAAGTGCCAAATAGGGTTCTGCTGTATCCACAGCAGGGAGCCTCTAAGGATGTAGGCCAGCCTCCTCGGAGTACTGCAGAGGATACTCAGTAAGGTGTCCATATACAAAACAACTGAATGGTGATGCCGAGAGTCACCACAGTGACAAGGAGGGTGGTTTCTGAGGTCTGGAATGCAGAGATGGAGAGCATCAAACAGAGATTTAGGTTATTCCCTTATTTAAGCCTTTTTTCACCTAGGTTTCATAAATTTAGAAATCAGACTACACTAAGTTAATCATATGTTTTATCAATTTATACATTCTGACATTTGTAGAATTAAATCTTAAAAGCATAGAAGATGGCAGCACACAGACTTTAGGCTCTTGATGGGAGAGTGTAGCTTGGGAAGGAAGGAATTAATATTGCCCTGCTTTTTTTTTTTTTTTTTTTTTAAACAGTGTAATACCAGGGGATATTTGCTATTTCCTATCTTTTGGTTTTGTGTTCTTCATACTTTGAAAATAGCTTAAATTGAGTAAGATTGTAAAGTGGATTTAGGAACCTGTTGAAATTCAAGGTAGAGATTGCCTAGTCGTAACGCTGATCTTACTATTACAGAGAATTCTGAAGAGAAACTTTCGTAGAACCTGACACATAGTAGGAATTCAAATAATTTGTTGAATGAGTGACGATTTATGGAAATGCCCATCTGCCCTCTGTTCTGAGAGATTGCCCATTTTATATATTAGGCTTCTTGTACATTATTGTTTCTCATCCACCAGCAAGCAGTAGTTTTATGTTATTTTACTCATTCAGTTATTAGTGCCGAATGATTACTGGAAACAAAATCTTCTGCATGGTGATCTCTGGTTTAATGTGATTTAGCCAAGACATGAATAAATCCAGAATGATATGACAGAAAACCTGTGAGCAGTACTTAACTATGATAAAACTTAGTACTTCTCACTGTTCAAAAGAGCAATTTGTTGTTTCCTTTTGTAGTTGTAAGCACAAGGGAACCTCTCTTTGCCATCTTAGCCTGATTAGTATCTTAAGCCTACCTCTTCCTGGTTGGTAGCTGAAGTTTCATATAATTTAATAATAACTAATAATTATATAGAAGTATACATTTTCATCATAATTTTACATAGGCTGTCTTATTTGCTCCCTACAGTAACTTTAAATTATGTGGTATCCAGATGGAGCTGTGGTCACAGAGTCAGAAGTGACATAGAAACCTATATCTTCTGACTCAGATTTAACTATACTTTTCTCCTGTTCTGCACTGACTCCCACCTCAGGTTACTCAGGTCTTCTACTTCATCCTTATTGTCAGATCACTTCCCTTTATCATTTGTATTATTACTGATGACATTCTGTCACAGTTACGTATCCTCTTTTAACCCCACTCCCTTTAGCAACCATGTACTAGTAAGGTTCTCCACCTAAGTGAGTAAACATAGTGAACTGTTTTTCTTTTTGTCATAAGAAACTGAATGCTGAAGCAGAAAATTTATCTTGTTCTAATAACTCTCAAAACATTTGAAACTACCAACCTTGAAAAATAAGCACTGAGCATCACAAGAAAAAAATTGTCCAAAATACCAAAAACCCACAACAAATCCCAACCAACCAAACAAAAACCAAATTGTCTAAAGTATCAAGAAAGCCAAATAAAAAATATACCTTCATTTAGGAGGTAAGTTGATAAAAGGGGAAAGGGAATTAACATTTGAGTGCCTACTATATAACAGCCACTGTGTTAGGCTAAGTGTTTTGTATATTTGATTAGTTCTTTCAACTCCTGTCGAGGTAGATGGTGAAGTTTCTGTTTTACATATGAGAAAATAGACTCCCAAGTTACATAGCAGATAAGTGGCAGAGCCAGGATTCAAATCAGGATCTGTGTGATTCGTAATCCACATATTCTTTTCTTGAGGCCAGCATTTCTAAACATTTTTAACTTAACTTGCTTAAGAGTTCTTAAATAATTGATTTTTGCATGGTGCATAATAAAGAAGTAATATTAGGATAAAGAATTTTAATGCATATATATTAAATATTACTATAAAATGTATTTTAAATGTACCGAAATAAGAATAAGACAGATTTGGACTTGTCCCCATTTAACAACTGACTTACTGTTTATTTTTCTTAAAGGCTTTTTTCTTACATAATTTATCAGCAAATAAATTTACTAGTGACGTGATTAGGAGACTGAATATATACATGCAGATTGAAAATTAGCTGCTAAAGAATTAAAAGGAAAAACTTCTTTCAATACCTAAGGTTTGAGTTCTTGAATTTCATACTTAGAATATGAAAATTATAAACTCATTGATTTTTTTGTTTTTTTCTTGATGAATGAGAAAAGATAGTTTGAAAATTAACTCTTTAATGATTTGCTATGTCAGTGTAAATACTTTTGTATAACTTACAAATCTGACAGATCTCTTTGAGACAAGTTTGCAGACATTTTCCTTTTTTTATGCCCTTCATTAATTTGTATTTTAAAATTTCTGTTTCTTAAGATTCCTTTTTTTTAACCAGTGAGTCTATTATAGATAGATATTGAATAATATGTAGCAAACAATGAAAAGAAAACAACTTATAACTACCATGTTTACTAGGACTGGTCAGCTGAGTAACACATCAATTGATAATGGTTGCGTGCACTTGACCTCCACTAACTGCCAGGCATTCTCACTGATTTGTCGTCTGAGTTTCTCAAACTATTTCTTTTTAAAGGGAAAATAAAAATCGTTTTAAATTCTTGATGATTTTCCAAATTTGAAATTGAATTTGAAATTGAAGCCCTTAATTACCACCTTAATTATTTAATAATCGTGGAATAGAGAAATGCTATTAATCATACAGTCGAACATTTAAAAATGATTTGACTTGCAAATGTAAGATAGCTAGGATATTTGCATTTTGGAGGTCATGGGTATTAATTAGGGAGAATTTGGTGAAGGGTTGGGGAGGGTTGGGACGTACAAAGCCTGGGAAAGGTTATGTTCTATGAAGCTGCTTTAAGATGGTATACTGGAAAGGCAGAGTGCCATACAAAGGCTAAAATTAGAGTAGAAGATAAAGCACTGAGGTTAAAAAAGTGTAGATAATAAAAAATCTTGAGACCTGTGAAGGAAAATGGTTTTCAAACATAAACCAGAGGATATCTTCTGAAATTTTGTCATAAGACAAATTTTTCTTTTTGTCATAAGAAACTGAATGCTGAAGCAGAAAATTTATCTTGTTCTAATAACTCTCAAAACATTTGAAACTACCAACCTCGAAAAATAAGCACTGAGCATCACAAGAATTCCAGACTGTTGTCAACATTCTCCCTGTTTTGGCTCAAAAACTCCAAAAGCATTTGTGCATTAACGTATTTGTATATATGGAGGGTCCTTTATTATCTACATTGCCACAGTTAAGAGATTACACAGGGAGATGGATGTAGTCAAAATTTGAAAATATTCACTGAAGGCCCCCATTTATACCTTCCTCCTCACTAAACACTAGTGACTGTCATAGCACATTGGCTTGAGGACAGTGTGTTTGTCAGTGGTGGATGGAACATTTGAATGACTTGCAAATTCAGTTCAGATTGATGGCAAAATGAAATCTTGAATCTTTGAAAAGAAATTTCAGCCTTTCATGAAAATGAAAACAGTGATGATGTGTAACTGCTCAAATTATATCAAAGCCACTACCAAATAACTGTATGCCAATTAAAGGAACAACAACAACAACAAAAAGACCAGAAAGGGTGGTTGTGGTGGGTGCTTCAAAAAGTTTTCTTTTGAATATCATTAAGAGAGTAGTCCCTTTGGGAAAGTGATAAAGTCTGAATATTTTTGCAAAAAGGACCTCTTATGCTTGCTCTATAAATAGGTAAACATCAAAATGAAAGACTTTGTAGAGTTTGTCTGAAAATAGCCCTTTCAAGTTATCACTTGTTATTTGATCTTATTAATCATACAACAGTACTTATATTCATAGTTTTTGATTCATGTTTTTCAGATAAAACAAAAATATTTTTCCCCTATTTAAAATTTTGACCCTCTTTTAAATGGATTCACTTTAAGTTGCCTTTTGTGTAACCAGTTATATCTTTGGACAACAATTACTTTAATATTGCCATTACAAAGGGGGCTGATAAACGAATCTAGGATTTTCCTTCTACATATCCAGCATTAAAGAGATGAACCTAAATATATCAACTCTTTCATTTATTCTGTTAGTGTTTCAGTGAAATATTTGAAATAGTATTCTTCAGTATAACTTAATGTTTGAAACATTTTTAATCGTAAATGTTTTTGTCTTCCACAGGCCAAAAACAGAGAACTACTCAAACAGGTTGCAGCATTGTCCAAGGGTAAAAAGTTTGACAAAAGTGGAAGCATATTAACATCCCCTTGAGAAGTGGTTGGTTATTCATTAGTGTTTCTGCTGGAAATGTAAAATTTGAAAAAAATTCTGTGAAGCCCTTAAATTCTGTGTAGTGGAAAAATATTTTTGCACACCAAATGAATTGGCATGTTTCCTATTCACTTTTGTAACTGATATACAGCATTTTTTAAGTTGTATAACATTCAAATAAAACTTCAACTGGTTTGAAGCAACTTTTTAATTATTTGATATCCAGGAACTTTTTTGCCAGCAATAGTATTAAACAGTTGTAAGGGAGTGCATGAGTAGTGCTCTTCATAAAATACAACATGCAATAATAGAGTAGGTATGGTTTTCAGAAGTCAGAGCAGCAGGGCTTTTCGTTTTGTTTTTTGTTTTACACTATGCTAATTTCATATAAACAGTTTTCAATTTAGAAATACAAAAACTTTTAAACAAGAAAAATTGTGAACACTGGTTTTTTGGTAATTGTGTTTTTACTTTTCATGAACATGACTTTAGGAGAGAATCATGGTGCTTTTATTAAATGGACTTCAGAGTATATGTAAATATGTTTTTTAAAGTTACATCGTTACCATTAGTTAGTAAACTAGTATTTTCATTATTGGTATAGGAATTAATGTTTATTGTACAGTATCCAAGGTAAATGTGTTTGTTTTGTAAAAACTACTGTAGATTTTTACTTACAAGTGCCTTTTTGCCACCTAATGTTTTTATTTATAGGAATGCTGATCTTTTGTACATACAGTTTGTTTTAAAATCATGTTTAATAAATGTTTGTATATAAATGCATATGTACAGAAGCCTATTTCAAAAGGAAATCAAAGTTGCTAGTAAAATGTTTGAGGTTGCATTAAGAACTGATAATGCATCTAGACTTTAGATAATTTTGTGCTTTGTTTCTTTGTGATATGGGAAGCTGTTGGTCATTGAATTCATTGAATTATGTCAAAATACTTCCCAAAAGATTTAATTTTAAATCACTTCTGATAGAATAATTTTATTTTTTATGTCATATGGCTTCATGTTCATATTTTGTGTTACATGTTTTATTTTTCTTTTATTAAAATTTTAAAAAATTAATAATTTTTCTGCAGTGGTCCATATATCTGCTTTCCCTATAATATGTGGTTATCTAAGTTAATATTTATGTACACCATACTTAATTTGTAAGTTTAAAGCAAATCTGGAAAAAATATCTTTTAAATCAATCTGTGATTATCTTTAAATAAATTAGAATCTACTGCAAGATTCAGGCACTATTTATAAGAAAATTATATCAGAGTCTTTAAAATTGTCTATAAAAGGTTAAGGTAGGGTGGGATAGGTTAGGAGAAGTTACTGACTAATTGTGTTCTAATCCAGTGGTTTTCAGCCTGTAATAGAATTGATCTCCTACTTAGTAAATGCCAGTTCAGAGTTTCAGTTCAATTTTAAAGTGTCAAGCATTGCTAGATATACTGTATAGAGTAGAAGGCTCCTTCTCTTAGGAATTTACGGGCAAAGTAAATTTGTTTCAAGTAAACTGTTATTAAATTTATCAGTCTTGAAGCATTGATTATGAATGTCCTATCAAAGATCCTCTTTCCGCAGAACACAGGATGATTGTAATAATTGTTTTTAACATGATTCATGTTTCAGTAGATTATTCCTATAGTGATTCATTATAAACAGATTTCAAATAATTCTTTGTCCAATTTGAAAACATATACCTAGGGTAATTTTCAAGTGATAGTAAAATATTGAATCAGTCAGACTTGAAAGAATTAAACCAGTTTATTTTTATGAAATCTTCATGCAATAATCTTCCTAATCTTAGTATTCTCAACAATGATAGGTAATGCCTCCTTAACACAGATTTTACTGTTTTCAAGATTTGCTAAATTCATAATACCGTCATTACCTTTCTTTAAAATTTATAATGTTTGTATTCTGGTTTCATAGCCATTTGTCAATCCACAGTGGTCATTATGGTTTTAAACTGTGTAATAGTTCTTATACCTTGTTGGAGCTGCTACAAAAGAAAGATGCCCCTTCCCCGTTTTTTAGGTAAGAGATTAAAAATTGAAATGAGTCTAAATACTTAAGCTTTGTAAATTCCAAGGCTAAAACCTTTTAGGGGCTTCACAGTATTTAGTCCTAATTAAATGCCCTCTCTTTATTCTATGACCTGGTTTTATAACCTGATTATTTTGCAGTTGTATAAACTAGTAATTGAGTCCCAGTCCTGAATCTGTAGTGTATTGACATAATGACCTGATATCCTCTCAATGTGGACCTGTAAGGAGATACTATGGTGTGCCGTATTGTGCTTTCTAGCCTGTTTTCAGCTATCGATTAGCATTTACCAGTGAGGGTCATTTTGGCTCCAGTTATTTATGTATTAATAGCCTGTGAATATTGCAGTCCTTTTTAGATTGTATTGGTCTAAATATGCATTCTGCAGTGAACCTGTTAAGCTGTTCACATGTATAGACTATTGAAATACTGTACCTGTACACATCTGACTGTTGACATTTTGTACTTTTTTTCTAAATCCAATATTTCACAATAAAAACTTGTCAAAAGCTTTGTATTGATTTCCTATTGCTGCTGTTAACAACTTACCACAAATTTAGTGGCTTAAAATAGCACAGATCAATTCTCTTACAGTTCTGGAGGCCAGAAGTCCAAAATCAGTTTCACAGGGCTAAAGTCAGGGTGTTGGCAGGTCTGGCTCCTTTTGGAGGCTCTAGGGAAGTAAGTGTTTTCTTGCCTTTTCTAGCTTCTGGAGCTACATTCCTTGCATTCTGTGGCTCTTTGCCCCCTCCTCCATCTTCAAAGCCGAAAGTACAGCATTTTCAAGTGTCTCTGCATCTGTCGTCATATGATCTCTCTTTGGTCACAGTGTCTCTCTCTGTTCCCCCTTATAAGGACATTGTCGGGCGCACCTGGATGATCAGGATAGTCTCCCTGTTTCAGGTCCTTAATTACATCTGCATACTCCCTTTTGTCATGTAAGGTAACATAGTATTTATATGTTCCAGGGATTAGGACTTGGACATCTCAGGAGAACATTATTGAGCCTACAGTAAGTTTCACCTACATTTTTCTAAAACGATAGATTTGAAGGATTTGACTCAGGCCAAACAAATTTAATTTTCCTATCTTTTAAGACTGCTCTCATGAAATAGTTATTTTCCTGGAAAGAAGTTATATAAATTTTTATTGTGCTATTTCAAAGCAACAATTGGTGAATCAAGCTATATGTAGTTGAGGTTTTTGCAAACGTTGGAACGTGACTAGAACCATGCTAGATTGTTTGATAGGATGAGAGATGAAGGCCTGACTTTAATTTCTAGCCTAGCTGGGGAGACAATATACATGAAAAAATACCTGGAACTTAATTAAAATGCAATAGAAGCTAATAGCTTTTAGCAAGGGCATTTGCAGAATTGTGGGAAAGGTTAGTCTATATCATTGTTTTCTCAAACTTGAGCGTGCGTCAGTCAGGAGTCGGGGTGTGGGGCTTGTTAAGCATGTGTTGCTGGGCCTCAACCCCAGTTTCTTGAGTCCATAGCTCTGGGATGGGGCCCCCAAATTTGCATTAAAAACTCCCAGGTAATGCTGATGCTTCTGGCCCAAGAAGTATACAAATTAGAAAAGAAAAAAAAGAATGAGGTTTAAGAGACAGTGAGTGGAAGACATTTGGGGAAACATAAACTTGGAAAAGTTTTTGGAGATGTATTTTAAAAGCAGTTGGGGTAGTCCTCAGTAGATTTTTGAAAAGGAAGTGATGTAAAACCAGATAATTTGACACTTTAAGAAGACCAACTGCTTTATTTCATAGCCAAAGAAATGGAGCAAGAAAGGGCAAATGACTTAAGTATTGACTTTTATTAATGTCCTGACATTTTCCAAAAAGAATTTAAGGTAGCTTGGTTTAAGTGATTTGTACCTAGCCAGTTTGCCACACAAATGAAGTTTTAACGAGGGATGTGTATAGTCATATCAGACATAGCTAAGAAGTTGAGGATAGTGAGAAAAAATTGGATGCAACAAGCTTATGCCTTGACATATAAGGCACAGAATTTATTTTTTTAATTGACAAGGAGATGGTAGATGATTCAAGCCCAGTGTTCTTTCTCTCATTTTTAATGTGATATGATTGCATTTGGAATATGTAGTGCTAGTAGTCACCACTTTTCAAGAAATGCATAGTCTGAAAAGTTATATGATTAGAGGTTTGGAAACTGTATCTTGACTAGAATGATTGACTTGTTTCCAAAATAGAGAAGAAAGAGACCAACAACCCTATAGCAAACTAGGCAAGAGAAATGAATAGACAGTTCATAGAAAAAATGCACATGGTTCTTAACCATGTGAAAAGATGCTCAACTTCACCCATAATAAGAAAAATGAAAATCAAAAGTATATGGAGTTACAATTTCTCACCTGTAGGTTTGCAATATTCCAAATCTGACAACATACTTTGTTGACAAAGTTGTGGGGAAACACTTTCCTATATTCCTATTGGTCATTGCAAAACAGTCCCTATGGATGTAAATTTCAGTAACCAGCAAAATTACATATGCAGTTAGTTATGCTTTGACCTAGCAATCCAATTTCTAAAATTCTATCCCGAATACACACTTAGAAAAAAAAATTTTTTTTTAAATAGTTTCAAGGGATTGGTTAAAAAACTATATGTCCATGTAATGGATACTATGTAGCTGTAAAACTAACTCAGCTACTTCTCTAGGATACATTGTTGAGAGAAGCAAACTAGAGGAAAGTGTGTTGTAGCATGTTACTATTTAAGAAGGGTAGGGCTCTATACCCACACACATACACACAAGTATATGATTATATTTTTTAAAAATTGAAGGTTTAACCATAATTTTAAAAAAATGGTTACCAATAAGGGGGTCGGGGGAGGAATACGTTGGAAGGGACAATGTTGGAAGCTAGAATTCTTGGAATATACCATGTTTTGTTGATTTGACTTTGGAGTCACTTAAATATTTTTACAATGTTATAACCAAAAAAAAAAAAAAACCACCAAATGTACCTAAATATATAACCAGTTGGTGCCACAGCCACACAGATAACTATGCTAATTGCTATAAAATGTAATATTTGTACCTCCCTAGTGGGATATGTCCTAAAGTAAAAAAGAACTGCAAAATCATCTTACACGGTTGACAATCATATTGGTGACTGTCAGCATTCTGAGATTATTGTGTGGAATAAAACATTGTGAATAAGGCGAGTGAATAATTATGTGATTTTCTAATTCTATCATTCCATTCATTGTTTAGGACTAGGATTCTTGGCTGAAGAGAAAGGAGATATAAGTTTAGGAAAATCTGTAGAGCCCTCTTTTTAATTAGAATTATCAGCATAAACTCAAGTTACTTTAAGAAGAAATAGATATATTCAGTAGGAAAAGTATAAAATGAGCCTGCATATCTTGTCAGGTCAGATAGCAAGAAAGCTATAAAGGATGATTTAGTACACTCTCAAAAGACTCACGAACCAGTTGGCAGATAGCACAATTTGAACATCAATATAGAAAATAATATCTGTAGTGGGTGGAAACGCTGAATATGTTTAAATACATGAGTTCAAAATGATACTAAATAAAGAGACACCATACAAAAACCAAAGCACTAATTGATCACCATTGGAGGATGCTAGCAAGCTGACTCAATATTTTGAAAACTGGTAAACAGAAAAGAATTCAATATTTCCTACAGTTCCCATACACACTGTACCTCTGGATAGGCAAGTAGTAAATGAAGGATACTTTTTCTTAAAAAGTTTCATTTAATGAGTGAAAAAGGAATGATAGAATTACAGTATCATCACTTTGCAACTTCCAATGAATTAATGGAGATAATAAGCACTGGCCATGCTATTGTTCAGCTGCTAAAAGTAAACAAAGAGACTGACTCTTAGCATCACGTGCTTTCTGAGGGAGGAGCACACTAAGACAGAGTAGTTTTGCCAAAAAGAATCATACCTAAATCTGATCAAGTATCTACCAATTTACAGGAAAGAGAACAGCATATTATGTTGAATGACACTGAAGGGATGCAGTTGGCACAACTGTTTCTTCAATAATTTGCAAGGAAAAAAAATTGATGGAGGGGAGTTGGAGGGAAACATATAAGGTGAGAGGTACTTAGAAGATATCAACCAATCACAATATGTGGACCTGATTTGGATCTTGAATCAAAAAAACTTAAAAATTGAAAAAAAATATTTTAGCATTTATGACAACTGGAAATTTGAATATTGACTGGTTATTTAATAATAGCAAGGAATTA